ATCTATTCGGGATGTAACCAGAGCGTGGACGACTGTAGCCAGATCAGACTTCCCAAGGTGCGGGCACAGCTGTCGCGCAAGTTTTAACTGTGTAAAAGCTCCCTTAGCCATTGCCGAAACCTGGGGTTCCAGGCTCAGCAATGAATCCAGGATCACTCCCAAGCTTGTAAAGTATACAGTTCTTATTTGAAGGAATGCCCTAATTCTTGTGCCCACCCTGATTTCTGGGGGAGTCTATGCCTTGTGTAATTCCTGCCTACACACATTCTTCTGTAACGTTTACATCCCTGCCTATATATTTCAAGCCAAGTGTTATTCTTTTGGCAGGGGATTGGCAGGGGGTGGCTTAGAATGATTTAAAACTGACACCTCTGAGCCTATTTCCTAACAGTCATGTGAAAAAGGGAGCTACTAATCCTCTCATCTTTCAAGTGTAAAGATATATCATGGGATACCAAAGTTAGGATTGCCCATGTCATCATATTTCCTATTTCTATGTATGGCTGTGAAAGTGGACAGTGAAGAAAGCTGAGAAAAAGGAAGCAAAGTTGGAATACGGATATTATGGATTGCCAATGCAGTTTTTTTTCATGTCAGGAGCAAGTTGAAATTGTGGTGGGGTACAAATAAATATTTTTTAATAATAATAATAATAATAATAATAATAATAATAATAATATGTTGTTTATTCATTCAGTCACTTCCGACTCTTCGTGACCTCATGGACCAGCTCACGCCAGAGCTCCCTATTGGCCATGGCCACCCCCAGCTCTTTCAAGGTCAAGCCAGTCACTTCAAGGATGCCATCCATCCATCTTGCCCTTGGTCAGCCACTCTTCCTTTTTCCTTCCATTTTCCCCAGCATCATTGTCTTCTCCAAGCTTTCCTGTCTCCTCATTATGTGGCCAAGTACTTCATCTTTGCCTCTGATATCCTTCCCTCCAGTGAGCTGACAGGCTTTATTTCCTTGAGTATGGACTGGTTGGATCTTCTCGTGGCACTCTCAGAATTTTCCTCCAACACCACAGTTCAAAAGTGTCTATCTTCTTTCGTTCAGCCTTCCTTATGGTCCAGCTCTCACATCCATAGGTTACTACGAGGAATACCATTGCTTAACTATGCGGATCTTCATTGCCATTGTGATGTCTCTAATCTTCACTATTTTATTGAGATTGGTCATTGCTCTCCTCCCAAGAAGTAAACGTCTTCTGCAGTCTTGAGCCTGGAAATACAAAGTCTGTCACTGCCTCCCCGTTTTCTCCCTCTATTTTCCAGCTATCAATCAGTCCGGTTGACATAATCTTGGTTTTTTAAAATGTTTAACTACAACCCAGCTTTTGCACTTTCTTCTTTCACCTTGGTTAGAAGACTCCTCAGGTCCTCCTTGCTTTTGGCCATCAAAGTGTTGTTTGTTTGTTTTTGTCGTGTCAGGAGCAAGCCGCTTCTGGTGTGAGAGAATTGGCCGTCTGCAAGGACGTTGCCCAGGGGACGCCTGGATGATTTCATGGTTTTTTTTAATCATCCTTGTGGGAGGCTTCTCTCATGTTCCTACGTGAGGAGCTGGAGCTGATAGAGGGAGCTCATCCGCCTCTCCCCGGATTCGAACCTGCAACCTGTCGGTCTTCAGTCCTGCCGGCACAGGGATTTAACCCACTGCACCACCGGGGGCACCGGGGGATCAAAGTGGTATCATCTGCATATCTAGGGTTGTTAATGTTTCTTCCAGGAATTTCAACTACAGCCTTGAATTTGTCAAGCCCTGTACATCGCATGATGTGTTCTGCAAACAAGTTGAATAGGTTAGGTGAGGGTATGCAGCCTTGTCATATCCTTATCCTGGAAAGGATCGTTACCTTGCCAAGGTGCTGCAGCTTGAGCACCTCAATGATGCCACGAGTGAAACTGTGAAGGGACACCCAAAACGGGACAGTCATGGCAGAGGGGTCAGAGTGAACACAATCCCTGGGGAAGGTAATGGCAACCCACCCCAGTATGCCAAGAAAACTAAATGGATCAATTATTATTATTATTTGAAACACAACAAACTGGATCACTCTACTGGCTGTTGTATTGGATCACACGTCGGACACTTCCCAAGTGTCTAGGACTGTGATGTGCCGGCGAATAATGCATGCAGATCTCAGTAAGGTGGCCTTCTGCAGCAGGTAGATGGTTATTTTGTCAGCCCCAATTGTGTTTAAGTGCAGGCCAAGGTCTTAAGGCATTGCACCCAGTGTGCCGATCACCACTGGGACCACCTTTACTGGCTTTTGCCAGAGTCTTTGCAGTTCGATCTTTAAATAGTCATATCGTGTCAGCTTTTCCATTTGTTTCTCTTCAATCCTGCTGTCACCTGAGATTGCAATCCATACTTTGTTTTTTAACACGATCTGAAGTCAGGAGTATTGTGCTCTAGAATTCTGTCTGCCTGAATTTGTAAGTCCCAGAGGAGTTTGACGTATTCATTTTCTGTAGCTTTTTTTCCAGTTTGTGATCCCACCAGTTCTTTGTCGCAGGCAGAAGGTATTTGTGGCACAAGTTCCAATGAATCATTTGAGCAACAGTGTTATGCCTCTGCTTGTAGTCTGTCTGTGCGATCTTCTTGCAGCAGAGGATGTGATCCATTGTTTCATCTGCTTCCTTGCAGAGTCTACACTTGGGATCTGCCATCAACTTTTCAATTCTTATTCAATAAAATTATTTTACTGACACAAGAGCACAGTATGTCACAGCAAACGAGATCTATAGGCTGGATTTCGTATCAAAAAATCACAAGTCGAACACTTCTCAAGCGTCTAGGACTGTGTGATGTATTTTCGAATGATGCGCACAGATCTAAGTAAGGAGGCCTTTTGCAGTTGGCAGATCTTAATCTTTTCAATGTTTATTGTTTCCAAATGCTGGCTGAGATCTTTTGGCATGGCACCCAGTGTGCCGATGACCACTGGGACCACGTGTACTGGTTTATGCCAGAGCCTTTGCAGTTCTATTTTGAGGTCTTGATAGCGGCTGAGTTTTTCCTGTTGTTTTTCCTCAATGTGACTGTCACCTGGTATGGCGACATCAATAATCCAGACTTTTTTCTTTTCCACAATTGTGATGTCTGGTGTATTGTGTTCCAAAACTTTGTCAGTATGGATTTGAAAGTCCTACAGTATTTTTGCATGTTCATTTTCCATGACCTTTGCGGGTTTATGATCCCACCAATTCTTTACTGCTGGCAGGTGGTACTTATGACATAAGTTCCAGTGAATCATTTGGGCCACAGAGTTGTGCCTTTGTTTATAGTCCGTCTGTGCGATTTTCTTGCAACAGCTGAGGATATGGTCCATCGTTTCATCAGCTTCCTTGCACAGTCTGCATTTGGGGTCATCCGCTGACTTTTCAAGCCTGGCCTTAATTGCGTTGGTTCTGATGGCTTGCTCCTGGGCTGCAAGAATCAGGCCTTCTGTCTCCTTCTTCAGGGTTCCATTCATGAACCATAACCAGGTCTTCTCCTTGTCAACTTTTCCTTCAATCTTCTCAAGGAACTGCCCATGTAAGGCTTTGTTGTGCCAGCTGTCAGCTCTGATTTGGAGTGCAGTTTTCTTGTACTGACTCTTTGTCCTGTGTGTTTGTGTGCTGTGCCATGCCAATGACCACTGGGACCACCTGTACTGGTTTATGCCAGAGAATTATTATTATTATTATTACTAGCCATCCCCTGCCACACATTGCTGTGGCCCAGTCTGGTGATCTAGAAAATAATGAGAAGGTGTTGCTTTCTAATATATGTCGTGTCTTTCTACTTGTGGGTAAACAGTATTTCTTGCTGTTTCTTTGTCAGTGTTGATGTGGAGATTGTCTGGTTTGCGTACTCTGGAACATGCAACATATAATTGTCCTTCTTTAGAGGTCCCTTTGAAATCTATGATACTGCATCTGTCATATCCATATATATATGTATGTGAATCATATCTATCAATCTATATCTATGGCTGGATGGCTCTTTGTCAGGAGGGCTTTGGTTACGTTTTCTGGCCCTGGTGAAGGGAGTTGGAACTGGATGGCCTGAAGCATTTTCTGTTGCTCATGGGGATTCTGTGTGGGAAGTTTGCCCCAATTCTGTAATTGGTGAGGTTTAGAATGCTCTTTGATTGTTGGTGAACTATAAATCCCAGCAACTACAACTCCCAAATGTCAAGGTCTATTCCCCCAAACTCCATCTGTGTTCATATTTGGGCGTATAGAGTATTTGTGCTAAGTTTGGCCCAAATCCTGGATGTAGGTGAACTACAACTCCCAAACTCAAGGTCAATGCCCACCAAACCCTTGTGTTTTCTGTTGGTCATGGGAGTTCTGTGTGCCACATTTGGTTCAATTCCATCGTTGGTGGGGTTCAGAATGTTCTTTGATTGTAGGTGAACTATACATCCCAGCAACTACAACTCTCAAATGACAAAATCAATTATTTGAGTGAAGGACATACATTGGGATGTTAGGTGTATCCTGTCCAAATTTGGTGCCAATTCATCCAGGGGGTTTTGAGTTCTGTGAATACCACAAACGAACATTACATTTTTATTTATATAGATTATTATTATTATTATTATTATTATTATTATTATATTTTAGGTTAGCCCAGGCATGGGCACACTTGGGCCTTCCCTCCAGGTGTTTTGGACTTCAACTCCCACAATTCCTAACAGCCGGAATTGTGGGAGTTGAAGTCCAAAATACCTAGAGGGCTCAAGTGTGCCTATGCCTGGTTAGCCCATCTTTAAATCACTTTTGTGATGGTTTGCTGGAGCCTCTCTATGGGGAGAAAGGTGGGTGAAAAATAAGGGCAATGAATAATTAAACAGATCCAATGAACGTGGCCTCCTTCTCCTCCTCCTGTCTTCCTGGGCAGCCTCCTTGGGGAGAAAAGGGAGGAGGTGGAGGTGGGCTTGGCTGCTTCTCCTCCTTCTCCTCCTCCTTCTCCGGAGACGTCAGCTTGCAGCTCCCCTTCGCTCCGCCTCTTTTTCCTCCTCCCTTCCTCCTCTCCTTGCTGCAGCGTCCTCCCTCCCTCCCATCCTCCTCTCCTCCTTTCCCTCCTTCCTTCCTTCTTTCCTTCCTGGGCCGGGCAACGCAGGACAGCAGCGCCTTTCCCTCTTTCCCTGGGAGCGCGCCCGGCTCAGCCTCTTTCTCTCACCTTCCCTGCCCAAAAGAGAGAGAGTGAGAAAGAGAAGAGAAGGAGGAAAAGTCTCTCTCTCTTTCCTCCTTCCTTCCCCCCAAAAAAGAAGGGGGAAAAGGCGTCTTTCCTGCACAAAAAGGAGGGCGAAAACGCGCGCTCCTTCTGCATGCGCGCCTGTGTTCTGCTTCTCTCTCTGCGCGCGCAAAGGGGATTTACTCTTGCTTTTTTCCTATATATTATACATATATATAATTAATAAAGACAGCCCTGCATATATAGATTTTTTTTTTGGTTCCTGAGGAAGAGGAGGAGCAAAAGCAACAGCAGGAGGAACAGCAACAGCAGGAAAGGGGAGGAGGAGAAGAAACATGGCGAAAACCGAGCAGGTCCTGAGCCTGGAGCCGCAGCATGAGCTCAAATTCAAAGGTAACTTGGAGAGGGGCTGCTTCCTTCCTAACCTGGGCTGCTTCCTCCCCTTTTCCTCCTCCTTTTGGGCTTCTCCTTCGGCCGAGGGACAGCCTGGCTCCCCCTCTTGCCCCTTCCCTTGCTTCTCCCTCCCTTAAACCGAAAGATATCTGTCTAAATCGGCCAGGATATAATCCGATGCGCCGGGGTGGAGGCAGGAGAGGCAGCGGCGCGCTTTGCTGCGGTGCCAAAAAGGGCTCAGCTCCAGCGGCAGCCATTTTCCGGGGGCTCGCCCTCCTCCTCTTCCTCTCCCTCCTCCTAAAATGCCCTTAGTGGAAAAAGCACGGGGGGGACCTGAGCTACCTTTCCCTCCCTCCTTTCCCACCTTTCCCAGCCCTCTTGTCTCTCCCTCTCTGCTTAAAGCCGCTGCGCAATCTCTCCTTCCTTTGGGTTGGTGCGGTGGCCAGGAGGGCGAGGATGGCACACAGCAGAAGCCTCCTAGAGAACCAAAGGCTTGGGCCTCATCTCCACTGCCATACCACCATACCATACATTATATGGACTCTTGTGAATCTATACTCTCCATATAATGCAGTGTTTCTCAACCTGGGGGTCGGGACCCCTGGGAGAGGGTCGCAAGGGGGTGTCAGAGGGGTCGCCAAAGACCACCAGGAAACACAGTATTTTCTGTTCGTCATGGGGGCTCCCTATGGGAAGTTTAACCCAATTCTATCACTGGTAGGATTCAGAATTCTCTTTGATTTGTAGGTGAACTATAAATCCCAGCAACTACAATTACCAAATGTCAAGTTATTTTCTCCAAACTCCACCAGTGTCCACATTTGGGCATATTGAGTATTCATGCCAAATTTGGTCCCGATCCATCATTGTTTGAGTCCACAGTGCTCTCTGGATGTAGGTGAACTACAACTCCCAAACGCAAGGTCAATGTTCACCAAAGCTTTCCAGTGTTTTCTGTTGGTTATGGGAGTTCAGTATACCAAGTTTAGTTCAATTCATCATTGATGGAGTTCAGAATACTCTTTGATTGTACATAAACTATAAATCCCAGCAACTACAACTCCCAAATGTCAAGGTCTTATTTTCCCCAAACTCCACTAGTGTCCACATTTGGGCATATTGAGTATTCATGCCAAATTTGGTCCTGATCCATCATTGTTCGACTCCACAGTGCTCTTTTGGAGTTGTAGGTGAACTACAACTCAAAAACTAAAGGTCAGTGCCCACCAAACCCTTCCAGTATTTTCTGTTGGTCATGGGAGTTCTGTGTGCCAAGTTTTGTTCAATTCCATCGTTGATGGAGTTCAGAATGCTCTTTGATTGTAGGTGAACTATAAATCCCAGCAACTACATCTCCCATATGACAACATCAATCCCCCTTCCAATCCCACCAGTATTTAAATGTGGGTGTAACGGGTATTTGTGCTCAATTTGGTTCAATGAATGGAAATACATCCCGCATATCAGATATTTACATGACGATTCATGACAGTAGCAAAATTACAGTTATGAAGTAGCAACGAAAATAATGTTATGGTTGAGGGTCACCACAACATGAGGAACTGTATTAAGGGGTTGTGACATTAGGAAGGTTGAGAAACACTGCATTATATGTTCTCCTATGAGTCTGTACTCTCCATATAATGCATCATAAGCTTTGGAAAGGACCATAAGGGCCTTCCAGTCCAATCCCCTTTCCTCCGAATCAAGGAGGCACTGTTTCAGTGTCTCTCCTTTGGGTTTGCACCTTCATCCTTCTGTTCAGTGTCTCTCCATTGTATATGAGCCTTCATTCTTCTTTGGTGGGGAGGCAAAGTCATTCCTGGAAAAGCTCCCTTTCAGAAGAAGCCTGGTTCTTTCTCCATCCCTTGTGTTTCTTGGTCATAGTTTGTGGGCAATCCTTTGAGGATTGAGGTGCCCAGGATCCCTTACGGTTGCAGGGTTGGTGGGTTGGGTTGAGTAGGAATCTGCTGTGCTTGTGTGATGTTAGATACTATGAGAAGCAGCCTCGGGGAAATCTTAAGGGCCTAAAATGCCTGATTATTTCTTTCATATTAAGGAGAAAACAATCAATGGACCCCAACCAAGCTGAGTATGTATTGCACAAGCCATGTGTTGGTGGAAGCGTCCTGCCAGGTCCATGTTTTACAAGGAAAGAACCCACCCTCCCACCTGTGTTGCAATGGCAATGTTTCCTGACAACTGTGTTCTCTCCCATTGGTTGAGATAACTGGTCCAACCTCAGTTATGCTTATTTAGAAGTAAGCCCCAATATCTCCACTAAGGATGTTTTCTATTCAAGTTTGCTAAAGGCTGCAGAAAGCATTTTGTTTGGTGCTCATTTAGGTATCTGATGGGTATGGTTGCACATTATTAGATTTTCTATTTTGGCGTGGATTCTCCAAATGGAAATGGGTTGAATCCATTGGCCACTTTTTTTTTTCTATGTCAGGAGCGACTTGAGAAAGTTCAAGTCACTCCTGGTGTGAGAGAATTGGCCGTTTGTAAGGACGTTGCCCAGGGGACACCTGGATGTGTTACCATCCTGTGGGAGGCTTCTCTCATGTTCCCACATGGGGAGCTGGAGCTGACAGACGAGAGCTCACCCTGTCTTGCAGATTCGAACCGCTGACATTCAGATCAGAGAGGCACTATTTGGGGGATGGGGCAGAGATGGTGTATTTACATTTTTATTCTTCCAGGTTCATATTTTAACAATCCCATAATCTAGTTTTTTTATTTAAGGTAAAAAGGTAAATGAATATTTCCTTCATATTAAGGGGAAAACACATGACATTAAGTCTAGTTGAGTCCGACTCTGGGGGCGTGGAGGGTGATGCTCATCTCCATTGCTAAGCCAAAGAGTCAGCATTGTCCATAGACACCTCCAAGGTCATGTGGCCGGCATGACTGCGTGGCACACAGTTACCTTCCCGCAGAAGTGGTACTTAGTCATCTACTTACATTTGCATGTATTCAAACTGCTAGGTTGGCAGAAGCTGGGCCTAAAAGCGGGAGCTCACCCTGCTCCCCGGATTCAAACTACCAAACTTTCAGTCAGGAAGGTCAGCGGTTTAACCCACTGCGTCACCAGGGCAGTAAATTTATTACTTACTGTATTTATATACCGTCTTGCTCAACCCTGGGGGGACTCAAGGCGGTTTACAACTTTCTAATGGCAAAAATTCAATGCCAACATACAGTACTCAAAGAAATCATAATAACTAATTACTACGAACTTAAAATAATTAAAACCATTAAACATAAGACATACATAAAATTTAAACATTCAGACAAAGCATAAAATCATCCTAGTATAAACATTGTTTCTTGTTTGGAAATGGCATGTTCAATAAAAGATTGTCATGTTTAGGAATTCTCTCATGTCCCTGCAAGGCTTACAGGCGGAGCTCACCCTGCTCCTTGGATTCGAACCGCCAACCTTTTGGTCAGCAGTACTACTGGCACAAGGGTTTAACCCATTACACCACTGGGGGCTCCTCATTTGCCAGAGTAGACCCACTTAATTGGGGGATTTACAGAAATTCTGATGTAACAAATTCTCATTGAGTTTCATGGATGAGTTTGAGTCAGGCCTAAGAAATCACATAATATCCAGTGAAGCCTTCTCTTAGGTAAGCCCGAGTCTCAGCTGCCCTTTTGATTTTTGATGCTCCAAGCAGGAAAACAAAGCAGGCTTAATAGGAAGGCGATCCCATGGCACTTTTGTCTGGCAAGTTTTCAACCATGTTCCAGTTATTCCCTACTGCAGCTTGACAGTTATCCAGCAACCATCAGACATTGCATACATAGATTGTACTGTGGCCTGGAACATGTGGGACAGGTTTTTGCTGGTGATGCAAGATTATGGGACCTTTGGCCCAGTGTGCAAAGTATACTGCTGGTTTTAAAAGAGAGAAAGAGAGCTTTAAAAAACAAAAACAAAACAGCATTGCTTAGACCAGAGAGGCCTGGATCTAGTCCAGTCCAAAATTCTTTACCCACAGTGGCCAACCATGTGTCTTTGGATATATCACAAATAGGAGCAGCACTCCTTATATCTTTCAGCATTTGGTACTGAGAGGTACTTTCTCTGTTACTTTTTTCCATGTCAGGAGCGACTTGAGAAACTGCAAGTCATTTCTGGTGTGAGAGAATTGACCATCTGCAAGGACTTTGCTCAGTGGACACCTAGATGTTTGATGTTTTACCATCCTTGTGGGAGGCTTCTCTCATGCGCCTACATGGGGAGCTGGAGCTGACAGAGGGAGCTCAACCTGCTCTCCCCGGATTCGAACTGCTGACCTGTTGGTCAGCAGTCTTGCCGGCACAAGGGTTTAACCCAAGGCTCCTCAAACTTCTTAAACAGAGGGCCAGCTCATAGTTCCTCAAACTGTTGGAGGGCCAGATTATAATTTGAAAACAAACATGAATGAATTCCTATGCACACTGCACACATCTTATTTGTAGTGCAAAAAAGGCTTAAAAATAATACAATAATTAAAATGAAGAACAATTTTAACAAATATAAACGTATTATAAACAAATATAAACAAATATAAATGTATAAATATGTGAGAGGAAGCCACAGGGAGGAGGGAGCAAGCTTGTTTTCTGCTTCCTTGGAGACTAGGACACGGAACAATGGCTTCAAACTACAAGAGAGGAGATTCCATCTGAACATGAGGAAGAACTTCCTGACTGTGAGAGCCGTTCAGCAGTGGAACTCTCTGCCCCGGAGTGTGGTGGAGGCTCCTTCTTTGGAAGCTTTTAAACAGAGGCTGGATGGCCATCTGTCAGGGGTGATTTGAATGCAATATTCCTGCTTCTTGGCAGAATGGGGTTGGACTGGATGGCCCATGAGGTCTCTTCCAACTCTTTGATTCTATGATTCTATGATTAGTATTTCAGTGGGAAGTGTGGGCCTGCTTTTGGCTGATGATAAGATTGTTGTTGTTGTTGTATCCTTTCAAGTAGTTTCAGACTTAGATTGACCCTGA